AAAAAGTTGTTGTGTAAAACATCACTTAGGAAGCATAACCTGCAGATGAACAATTCTCTCCTCAGTGAGTTGATTCACCCCACTTGCATGCATGCAGATGTTACCTTTAGAAAACAGTTGCAAAATTGAGATTGACATTACTTATATTAGTTATTTTAACTGTCATCCTTTTATTTAGACTACAGTATTTAGTTTTGAGTTCACTTATTTATTGGATTTATTCACATATTTATTGGAACTGATCAAAATTTGTGTCAAGTGTAACAATACTTATGAGTTTAAAGAAGTGCAACTGTGTTATTTCAGTCCTCTGCAATTCTGCCCCTCCCTTTCAATTGCCCACTATCATGGAAAATGGACAGTTGCAGTCATATCTTCTACTGAAGTTTTTTTTTAATCAAATTAATTATTTGCACAAGTAGATCTTGCTCACCCATGAAAGAATTTGCCTTTTTTTGTTTGTTTGTTTTCTTAATGTATACCCTCTATAAAAGACTTACAATTTAATCAAATTTACTTCCAGGAGAGGTAAACAAAACAAAACAAAAAGTCAAACGCTAGAAGAGGCTCCACATCTGCTCTTTGTTTTTAGTTGTCTGCAAAATAGCAATTGCTGCTCTAACAAGAGAATTCCTGACTGTTTTATTGTAGAAAGTTAAAACTAACAAGATACTATTACTGCAAGTAACTCTCCCACAGGAAATCCATAATGCCAACTAACCCGAGTTACTGTTGTAGAATATAAAACTTAATTTATTTCCCTGGTATTAATGTCTCCCTCATTCTTCTTCCCCTAACAGAGTGCATTCCAACAGTCTAAATGGCTCAACTGATAATTTGTGGGAAAGCTCCTTTCACATAGGTCTTTCTTTAAGAACTGCCAAATCTTAATTCCTAAATAAAGCAAAAGCTAGTGGTGAGCGCAACATCACAGCCAGAATTGGGACCGTTTTGCTGAAGCAAAGAGAGATTTTGATGCGTTCGGTTACCCAATTTGTTTCCCTTTTATTTCACAGCTAAGAGTTTAACTTAGCCACTGAGCCAGTACAACACATTAGCACTCCTGCGGGACTATTTTTGCAAACCCACAACAGAAATCTATGCCTCCCTCAACAGCCTCACAAGAAAGTCTCAATGGGTAGTTAAACAGTGAAGGTTTCAAAAGATCAGCCTACCGAAACCTTACTTCAGCATGTGCCTTACAAGACACATTTTGGCAAAGAAGAAACCGAGAAAAGACTCTTCTACATTAGAAAGAGAAGCACTCCAATTTCATTCACTAAATCTACAGCTAACAGTAAAGTTCTGAAGCTACAAGCGACACGTGCTCAGGTCCACATAAAGCTCATAGAAGCACCCCGTGATATGCTCTGCAAGATGCGGAACAAGCATGCACGACACAAAGAAGCAAAATTACTTCCAAAAAGCAGCTATCAGCCTGGCATGCTCATCAGACAGATGTGAAAAGGAGCATCAGCACAAAAACAGCTTTCATCAGAAGGGACAGAAACTGATGGATGAGCCAAAGGAAAGAGAGAAAACTCTCCATACACAGGTCAGCTCACCAACAGATCCCAGCTCTGATAATGCAACAAAACTCTTAATAAATGAGCTACAGTGAACAGTCCACTTCTCACTAGTTGCAAAGCCCACGTAACAAACTGATGCCATTTGGCAGCCCTTATTACCAGCCTACAAACAGAAAATAAAAACGTATGGGCAAAAAAATGAATTCCCACAACAACATCCTTTGCTTTACAGCATACAAATGGCCCCACAAGTACTGTCAGATATCGTCTACAGTACAGTATTATACTTCATACCTGTTTTTACTGTTGGTGTAAAAGAGTTTCCCTGCCTTTTGCTCTAACTTGGGACGACACAATTTATTTCAGCTTATAAGGGACATGATCCACACAGCTTTTTCTTTAAGGATGTAAAAGAACTGACAAGGATAGATACTACAGTCTTACGGATAAAGGAAGACAAGGAAAGCACAGAGAATGAAAGACAAGGAGTGGTAACAGAAAAAGAGGTAACTGGAAGAATTTCTGGAAAACAAAAGCCTGCCCCCCCCTCCCTCAACCTGCGCACCCATAACAGGCAAAAGAGACATTGTAATGCTGTCAGAAGTGCTCTTTCTGTTCATGGAGAGAAAAGGAAACAGCTGATGTCTTACACCAGCGCTAAACAAACTCCTCAGTATTCCTTAATCTCTCCTTCTAGTTCTGAGTACAACACAAAAATGGTATTCAGTATTGCACACAGCTGTGGCATGAACTGGTAAAACAGAAGGAAGGAAGCCCTGAAGTTATATGACCTGGGACGCAAAAAGTTTTATAAGCGAAACTAATAAATAGCCAAAAATCTCCAACCACCCTCTCCCCATCTCTGAAAGCAAAAAGTATGCTGAAGAAGTTACTGAGCAAGATGCTTTAGTTTTCGTCTTGTGGCAAGGTAAAATAGATGGCTAATCCTTTCATGTCCCAAAAGTGGGAGTAAATACCTTCAATTTTTAATACAGACTCTAAACTAATGTTTTCTAATGATGTGGTCAAAATCAGATTAGGAATTACCCATACATCTATCTATTAGGATATGTGTTCTGTTCTTTCATACCTTTCTAGTGGGTCTGAACATTTCTTACACGCTACTTCTTAGAAGTAGTGTCTTCTGAGTACAAGTTGATAAAATGGAAGACACTTACGAGGGCTGAGATATTAGGATGAATACTTCATTGGTCAGTTTTTATTCTAGGGCTAGTTGTAAGGGACTTGGCACAAGGTAGGTATTTAAAGAATATATATTTTTTTTTTTCCTGCTTTCTACCCGTCATTATGGCAGAGATGCTTTTTAAAATACGTCAGCAATTAAAGTCGGATAGTTTTTTAAACAAACTATGTGTTTCACAGAAATAAACATGAGCAAATCTGTCAAAAGCTCTAGTGGGAAATTATATTCTTGTATTTCTGCTTACAGCGTACATTGTAAACCCTTGACTTCCTATTTCTTGCCACTTGATCTTAAAGCACTTTATAGTGTCCACAAGACATGGTACAAATTAACAATTGATTTTACATCTGCTGTACATGAGGAGCAGCAACACAAAATAAAAAATATATGGACCTTCTACCTACTTAACTGATGGCTTGTGTCAACATCATACAACAGCAGGCTCCATATAAAGAACCTGCCAACAAGTTTGCAAAGGTGGGATCTGGGGATCAGAACGCATATATGGTGTGCAAAACATTCACCTGCAATGTAAGTAGTAAAACATTCATATAGTATTGTATAAACAAAGAATATTAGGATGCTATAATCACAAAATAAACAAGTGAGTTTAGCAAAGCAGACTACGATAACAAAAGAGAATAAATAGAAGGCTTACCCCTATCCTGGGCTCACTCACAAAACAGCAGTAGATTGGATCCCCAGAAGAGATCCTTCCCCACTGATAGCCAGCTCTTAAATAGGTCTAGGACAGGTGGAGCCAGCCTCCACCCCTTCCGGCAGCACAGGGGAATTGCCTTCAGCTGTGCTCCTCTGGCTGACTCACTGCCCGCCTCAGGTGATCAATCAGAGGTTCAGGCTGCAACTTAGCAGTTCCCATACAACTACTTTTGGAGTTCACTACATGTAGTGCTTTTAGCACAGGGCTGGATTAGACACCTTAGCAACCTTACAATTGCAAAAATCAGGAAGAGTTGTGTGTAACTGAGAGCTGGGGTTCTCAGCTCGAAGTCAGATGATTTATACATCATGCCTAAGGTTTATCATCAAAGCAAATATATATTTTCCTGAAACATATTCAGTTTCTAAAGGAAAGCTGTCAAAGCTTATCAGCCACCGTATAGGTAACCTCTAGTTGGCAGGGTGAGCACAGAGGCTTAAGGAATCCTAAATACCTTATGAAGAGCATTTTTCATGGGAATAGGAAGTGCTTGTAGAACACAGATGAGACTGAGAATTAAAATGAAATGTTCCAACCTCATTAAGGCTTGCGATCCCCCCCTCCTTACAATATATATATGTACAATTCATCTCAAATATTCTCCAAGTGCCTTTTTAAAGGAGAATGTCTGGCATAGTCTGCCCAGAGAAGCTGTGATGCCCCAACCCTGGAGGCCCTCAAAGTGAGGCTGGATGAGGCCCTGGGCAGCCTGAGCTGGTGGGTGCCAGCCTTACCCACGGTACAGGTTGGAACTAGTGATAATTAAGGTCCTTTCCAACCCAAAATATTGTGTGATTCTATGATAAGACACCGGGTATAAGAGCCAGATATCATCATCATTGGGAAGATAGATAGATTACCTGCTCAAAGAGCAGTGGCTGAGAAGAAGAAGCCATTCAGCTCCTGTCCTTTCACAGCACATCACCAGGGCGGTGAGTCCACCCGCTGAGCACGTGGGTGATGCACTCTTGTACCATGGGTACTTTTCCCTCCAAAGGCTCTTCTTTGGGTTTAGGATTCCCAAGGCCTTATAGAACCATACATGCGCTCACGATAACGGTCATCAGCCCACATCAAGCAACATCCTTTCATCAAGTCCCCGAGCTGAGGGAATTCAAGGAGCCTTCGTGCACGGCACTGTGACACAGCGCTTGGATTTTGGCTCTCCTTCGCAGAGCCACGAGGTGGACTCGGTGATCCTTGTGAGTCCCTCCCAGCTCGAGATGCTCTATGATTCCATGACCAGCTAAGCCCGGTTCTGAACGCAGCAGTTTACAGGCTAAGTACCCTCAGGGACAGCCGCCCTCAGGGCGCGTTGCCTTCTCCCCCTCCCTCCCCTCTGCTTTTAAACTCTCGTAAAGCGTATTTCTGGCGGGTGGAGAAAGAAAGAGGAAAACGTGGAGCGGGACGTGAAAAGCTAAGAGTCGGAGGGGGCAAACGGGGCTGGGAAAGCCAGTGGACAGAGGAAGGAGGGCTCAGAGCCTACTCCGACCGCGGCATACCTGAGCCACTGCCTTCCCCCGCCGCCGCCTCCCACCACGGCTCGTCCAGCGCGTCCCCCATGCTGCCAGCGCCACGCGGGCCCGCCTTCCTCTCTGCCCGGCTTCCGCACTTTGCGGCCGACGCCTTCACTTTGCGACAGCACCGTGGAGGGGCGGGCCGAAAGGTGTTGCAAAGAAACAACAACATACCGACTCCCCGGCCGTGCTTTACGGCTGAGCAGGGCGGCACGTCAACAGCTATGGCGGAAGGGGACGGGGCGCCGCCGAGCAGCTGGTGAGTTGGATGCCGCTGCGCGCCCGCCCGTTCCCTTCCCTCCCGCCCCTCCCAGGAGCGGAGCCGGCGAGCAGAAGGGGAGGCGGTGGAGAGGGAAAAAGAGATCGCCCCGTGCTCGCCACCCTCTGGGTGCCATCCTCCCGCGGGGCCCGTAGGCCCCAGAGCGGGGTGAGCGCAGCGCATCCTATGCCAGCCCTTGGAGGGTGCCGGAATGGGGAAGCGCTGCCTTCAGAGCGGAGCGGCCGGAGGGAAGGGCGCTGTCCCAGTGCTAGGCCGTGGCTTTAGGGCGGGACGGGAGCCTTTGGGAGCGGGCACTTCGTGGATTTGCTTTCCCTGCAAATCTGCCAACCGTAGGTGCTGGGCTGTTTATAGAATAGCTCTGCTCCTCTGCCTCCCCCAGCGCAGATATTACTTCTAATGCATTTTACATTGAGTCCCTGGTCCGTTAGTGAGGGACTGCTTCTGTGTAGCATCACTTCAATGCTAACAGTACTGATGGGGTCTCAATATCAGCCACATTTATTCACTTAAGATTTCTGAGGCTGAATTTAATCGGGTTTAAATACTGAAGTTGTTTTCACTGCACCCTGTGCTTCTACGCCTCCATATCTTCCCTTTTCTCTTTGCGTTTCTGCATTGCATGTAGTGCTGTGCTATTGCCTTGCTCTTTGTCCCCTCCACATAGGCACTTTGCAAACAGTGTGTTGTGGAGCTGCTCCTTACCGTCGTTCCCAATCTTGTTGGTTTTGCTTCTGTGCTTTGATGTGGAGGATTCTAAGTTTGATGCTTCCTGTGCCCAGGCTTCTTTGTGCATTGTTGTCTCTCTATGAAAACAACCAGAGCTGACAAGCATGCAGATGTAGCTGGTGTCTGTTCTTTGTCTGCACTGGTTTTGCAAATACAGCTCTTGGGGATGAAACAACCCAGAGTCATTTAGTAGCAAAGGGGAATGAATGGAGTTTCTTTTTCGTTTGTTTATTTAGGTTTTTTTTACAGCTTTAGTGTTTATGAAGTGTTTATACAAGTACGGTGTCTGGTACCATTATTTCTAAATAGTCCTGGCTGTTGGTATATATAGTTACAAAGCTATTCAGATCTCGTGTAATTGGTGATAGAACTAGAGGGAATGGCTTCAAGCTGCACCAGGGGAGACTTTTCTGAAAGAGTGGTCAAGCACTGGAATGGGCTGCCCAGGGAAGTGGGGGAGTCACCGACCATGGAGGTGTTCAAGGAACATTTGGATTTTGTGTTGAGGGACCTGGTTTAGTGAGAACTACTGGTGATAGGTGGATGGTTGTACTGGATAATCTTGAAGGTCTTTTCCATACTTGGTGATCTGTGATTCTGGATGGAGTCACTGACTTTCAATCTTGACACTTTGGAACATAAACTTGGACATAGAATAAGAGCCATGTTGAAATGTCTGTGAAAAAACTTACTGCAAACCTCGTCCATTACCAATGCTGAAAGAGTATTACAGTCTTCCAGACTGCAACAAGCTGGTAAAATTCCCATTAGGAATGAGATGCAAGGGCTTGTTCTTGACATATTTTAAGACTCAGTACTGCAGTATTACTATTCTGACTAGCCCTGTTAAAAAGTAGTTACAGCATATTTGGTACTGTATTATCACGGTGTTGAAATCTACATATAGTGCTGTGCACTAACATTCACATTTAAAAAAAAAACAAACAAATAAAGCATAAAATGATGCGCATGTACATCTGAACTCTGGGACCAAAAAGGCCAGCTCTGTTCTGTTGTCCTGTATTCAGTTCCTTAGAGGGATTCAAAGGCAAGTGTAATTCTATCTCCAAATACAGCATTCAAGGCCAGGCTGGATGTGGCTCTGGGCAGCCCGGTCTGGTGATTGGTGACCCTGCACCCAGCAGGGGCATTGAAACTCAATGATCATTATGGTCCTTTTCAACCCAGGCCATTCTATGATTCATTCTACGAATGTCTTGTTTACTTCTGATTTGATATAGCTCTTGTTGAGGCATTTTTCCAGTGGTTGGAAGGATTGTAAGCTAAATTCAGAAATCATGGAAATAAGTTATTTTTCTGGGGAATATGGTGGCCTTTATGTAGATGGTTTCGTGTGTTGGGAAGGTAAAAGATGGCTGTAGAAATACATTTATATTAGCCGTTGACATGGGAAATATTCATAGGCATTTGTCACTTCCCCAGTTTTCTTCTAAGTAAGCCATGTATATAATTAGAATGTTTATAAAACTACTAGCAGTTGTGAGCTTTTTCAAAGTAAAGTCATTTGCTTAAAATACTGTTTAGCTCTTCCTTCCCTGTTACAAAAATTTATTAGGAGAATAAAATAATCCAGTCTGGCACCAACATTGATAGCCACAGTCTGTCCCAGCAGTTGTGATGGCACCATTGCTTTATGTGTGCCTATCATTGTCTCATCATGCATTCCCAATAACTGTAGCATGCAAACTGGATGTGCTTGATGTTCTAGGACACAATGGCTTTCATGGAATCATTATGATTGGAAAAGACCAGTAAGATCTAGTCCAACAGTCAGCCCATCACTACCAATATTACCCACTAACTGCAACCCTCAGTGCCACATCTACACAGTTCTTGAACACCTCCAGGGATGGTGAGTCCACCACCTCCCTGAGCAGCCCATACCAGCACCTTAATACTCTTTCAGAGAATAAATTTTTCTTGATATGCAACCCGAATCTCCCCTTGCCCAACCTGAAGCCATTCCCTCTGGTCCTATTGCTGTTTCCTGGCAAAAGAGGCTGACCTCCATATTGCCACATCCACGTTTCAGGTAGTTGTAGAGAATGATAAGGCCACCCCTGAGCCTCCTCTTCTCCAGACTGAACAATCCCAGCTCCCTCAGCCATTCCTCTTAAGACTTGTGCTCCACACCCCTCACCAGCTTAGCTGCCCTTCTCTGGACACACTCCAGGGTCTTGATATCTTCCTTGTATTGAGGAACACAAAACTGAACACAGAACTCAAGGTGTGGCCTCACCAGTGCCCGATACAGAGGGTAGATCACCTCTCTGCTCCTGCTGGCTGCATTATTTCTGATACCAGCCAGGATGCTGCTGTCCTTCCTGGCCACCTGGACGTACTGCTGGCTTCGTTCTACCAGCTGTCAACTAACACCCCCAGCTGTCACATCTCAAGTGTCTAGATTAAAAAAAAATAGTGGAAAAAAAGCATTTGACTGTTCCTGAAGATCATTGGCCTCTGGCTTGAATATCAGAGATCCTTTGATTATGCAAATTTACTCCAGAAACACTAATAGCATTACTGTGATTTATAACATTTAAAGCCACATGCCTTGTGGGAATTAACCTTTCAGGTCATGGCTTATGTGTGGAATGGGATTGTCTACATCTTTATCAAAGCTTTGGATGGCTTCTTGAAATAGACTGCAGCCATGGTAGAACGGAAAGCCACGATCAGTGCTGCATTCTTTCCAAAGTAACTAAAAAGCTCTTGTCTGTGAGAACAGAGAACTTCCTAGCTGATATTCACACAGGAATGACAAGGATCCAGATTGCTAGCAGTTTGCTGGAGCACTTATAGTACAACACAGAGTGAAATCAGCTAAAACATGGCCGGGGGGGCGTGTAATAAAGTATAAAGACTTTTTTTTCCCCCCCCAAATAATTTTCTTTGAGGGGCATAGAAATCAAATTTGAATATTACATTTAAAGTCCTTGTTGTGTACAGTGCAACTTGCATGCAACTACTGCATTCATTCCCATGTTCCCGTTCGGTACTTGGCTAGTATTTGTAGCAACTAACCGTATTTTGAATGTGCGATAATTCCAGCTTGGCTGTTGCTCTCTGTTCTGTTTGTCATGCAGGGAGTGCACAGAAATATGCAGTACAGGTGAGAGCATCTGTCTCCCTTCAGCTTATGTCTGATATTGGCTTTTACTGGCATTAGATCACCCCTCAGTTCATCCAGCTCTGCAGAGCACCACGTCTTTTACGTGCATGTCCTGGAAATCCGTGATTTGTATTCAGGATGAACTAATTTGGTGGTTTAATTTTTCCACCATCGATGGTTATGTACACAGTTAGACAACAGGATAAGAGATGTGATAAGAGATGTGCAAGTGTGCTCATGTATTTTTACCCCTCATTCTTCTATCAGAGAGGGGATATTTTCCCATGCAGTCTATAGATCTATGACCTTTGGGATAGTATTTTCAATACTGAAGTATATGGAAATTATTGTAAACTGTACTTTAAATTAGCAAAGGTACCCAAAGAGACTGCTGGCTGTGCCCCACTGTATGCTGGAAATACAAAGTGATACCAAGAGGTGCGTTGTTACAAGGAATGAATCTTTATACTTCACTATCTGTCCTAACAGCCATATTCTGTGTTTTGCACTGGCTATTGACTTCCTGGGTGTGTGTTTGGTTAGTCAGGTGGTGACACAGAGTCATTCTTAAGGCATGTGTCAGAGCTCCTAGTAAACAGTGAAGGGGATACAGGGAGTGAGAAGCTTTGCCTAGGGGACCCATATATCTTTGCCATTGCAGTTTTTCTAGTGAACCAGATCTTTTGCCATTGCTCTGCTACGTGATCCTAAAATAATCATCAGCTGTGGTTGTCTCATTACCGACAGCATGGGAATACTGAAACGGTCTGCAGAAGCTGTCACACTGTGAAGCAGTCACTTCTGAATGTGCACTCTGTCGTCTATAAATGCATAATAACTTCTGTTGTCTTGCTGTGGCAAAGTATCATTACTGTTTAATTCTCTTGTGAATTTGTTTTTCTACTTTCTACACTATTACTAGTATGTGTGTGTGTTTTATTTCAGTCTAATGCACACATCCACAGTTAGAATACTGGAACCTAAGTAAACCTGAGTTTAACTAAAAGGTCCTTCCCTACTTCAGGGAAAGATAGAGTTAGGAACTAAACGTTCTAAATCTTTGAAATAAGTTTTCCATTCTCTAGACCATTCATAATTGACCTGTAAGAACTCTGCCATCTAATTTAGGTTTAGCATTTGCTTTGAATGTAGTGTGTGTATGTGGGTGAAAATCTGCTGTCTCTATTGACTTGTAAACTAACACTGTATTTGCGTTTTTATGACACATTTTCCAGCATTGTCACTTCATTAAAAAAACAAAAACAACTGATCTGAACTTATTTTTTCTCTCGTGTGAATAGAATAGAATGAGAAGTTGAACAAACAACCTTAAAAATAAAGGAGTGAATAGTTTAGCCTTTTCTTCATCGTTGCTTCAGTAACTGGGAAATTGTATTATGCCTTTACATGTGTGTCTTTTTGCTTGATAGCAGCCTCCTGTCTATAAAGACTTAAAAGCATTGCATTGTTTTATGGTTTTAATTTTGTTTTTAATATTTTTTTTTAATAAATACGTTACGTATTGTTATTGTAGGGAAAAGGATCTTGCGGAAGCTCTAGAAGAAGGAGGCTGTGATCTTGAAACTGTGAGAAACATCATTCAAGGAAGGCAATTGCCTGCTGATCTGAGGGCCAAAGTTTGGAAGGTGAATACAGTCTTAAAAAGCAGGAAATACCTGAGGAGGTTGTGTGTGATTAGAGGTGAATGAGTTAATTGTCAAGCATCTTCACAAATGAGCCAACTTGTTGATGTGTACTGGAATTTTAATATGTGTGTATGTTGATTCAGGTTTAGGATGTTATTTAGTGAATTCAACTTTTGAGGACACTAAAATGTTCAGAATTTTTCTGTATTCTTCTTTCCAGATTGCACTTAATGTTGTAGGAAAGGGAGACAGCCTCGCATCCTGGGATGGCTGTTTAGATCTACCAGAACAGAATATAATTCATAAAGATTGCCAAGAGCTAATTGGTAAGTTAGTTGCATTTAGATCACCTATGTGAAAACTGCTCTCAGTTGTCTTAGGGCTTTGTTATTTGAATTAAATAGCCTAAATGATATTTACATTTTGGAGGAAGCTTTGAGAAGGATGAGAAGCAACACACAGGAAATCAGAAACATTGTAAGAAAGTAATATCTGCTCAAACTTTGGGAAGGTGGATCTCATGGAATTTTAAAGTAATGATTCATAAGTTATAGCATGTGTGGAGACAGTCCAATAGGATGAAGACTCCAGGAGGTTAAGAAAAAAAAAAAAGAAAAAGTATCTTTTTTCCAAGTTCTATCTTCTAAACTTTCCATGGTGTCCATCAAGTTTTTAATTGTCTAATTGTCAGTATTTAATCCGAAAAACTGCCATAGCACAAAAGTGCATATAACCTCTAAGAGAAGGAGCATATTAAACATCTTCCAGTTAATAAGCTGTTTTTTTTTTTGGTAAGAATTATTTTCTTAATCATTCTTTTTTTCAGGAGAAATGAAAAGTTGTATTTCTGAAAGTAGGGCACTGTCCTGGCACTGGAACTTGTATTCCAGCATTCCTGTAAGGAGCTGCTGCAGGATCTGATTGGCAGCTCATTACAAAAATGACCAACTCCCTGATGGAACATTGCAGCAATGGTAGCATCAATGATTTGCTTATGGAGTCAGTGCTGACTGATCAGTAAGGATACTTCTTCCCATGGCATCAATAAGAGAATCTTCCATTTTGTTTCCTGGCACATTTTAATTTACTTTTACAGAACTGAAAATTAAGGCAGAGAACGGAGTTGTTCCATGCATGCATACATACCACTTCTAAAATAGTTGTACATTTTCCAGCTTGAAAATGTAGTAGAACTTGTTTTCCTTCCATGCCTGTCCTATAAAGGAAAGGAAAGAAAGGAGTTCGACTCCTGTCAAATCACATATCCCTTCAGAAAGATGGCAACAAATTACAATTATTACTCATATCATATAAAATTAATCGCTTCACTCTCTACATGCCATTATTTCTTCTTCCTTTTCTCTTTATTCCCAAATTTTCTAATATATAATAGTATTAAACTGATTAATTAATGTAGAGTCAGATCAGAAGAGAAGTTGTATAGAGATTTCAGTTTAGGGTTGGATTAAATATGTTTTTTTCATGTTCTTGCAATGCGAGTCGTTTCCCAGTTTAAAGTAAATCTTTGGATGGCGTTTGTGTTTTGCAAGCTATTTTTTCTTCAGAGATGCTGAGGAAAGGAAATATTGAATGTCCAATGGCTTTAATGGGAAATTATTAAAAGCTTCTGCAACAAAAAAACTTTAGTTAACAGTAGTGAGACTCAGAGGCTTCTTGTAACTGATGGGGAAAGAAGTTTACTAGAGATAGAATGTCAGTACTTTTTCTGAAGTGCGCCAGCTTTTCAAGTAAGAGTCTGTGCAGAAGGATGCTTTGTAAGTAATGAAAGCTGAAGCTTTGTGTAAGTATCCAGCTCAGCCATGATGATATTTAAGAAGTGTTAGCCTTACTACTTCAATTACAGAACTGCTTTTGTCCCAATTTTTTGTGCTATTTAATGGGTCCAGAATTAGTCTGTCAGTAAATAGGGGACATCTTAACTTTCCAGCTCCTCACAACATTTATAGGAAGTTGAACAATGTACTGCACTGTATGAAGGAATATATGTTCACAGTGTATTTTCTGATTAGCAGCAGTGCTAAACCTAATTTAAAGCCTGTTTGTAAGCAAATTGTTTTCTTTTTATGGTTACCCAAGAAACTCAAACACCTTTTACGAAAATAATTTAAGAGTAGATATTAAAATGTGATTTATACATAAAGACTAGATTTTAAGTCTCTAAGCCTTGCTGATTTCAAACTACTAATATTATGAATCTGCACATCAGTGAGCTTTTGAGGAACTGGAAGGTGTGAATTGCGAGTTGATCAGTGCTGAAATTCAAATGAAACTGTTGTGGAGTTGAGCATAAGCTATTTGCTGAGCATATGAAATAGAAATAGAAGAATTAAAGGCTCTATCTTTTTGTTTCATTTAGATTCCAGTAAACCTTAATTTCTCTTGTTTTGCTGTAATATTAAATGTCTTACTCTACAGAGGTTAAAAAAGTCACTCATATTTTGATGCATTTCAAGATGTATTTCTATTAGTATTTAATCTGTGCTACTAATTTAGGGTTCTTTTTTTTTGCTATTCTCTTTTTCCCAAGCATCCAGAATTCCATAGTGGTGCAGTTGCACTGTGAACTAAACGTATTCACAGTCTTTGAAAAGCCATTAACATGGTTTGTATTTCTGTGCTTATTTCAGACCGGTTGTCTGTGCCACAGGACGAGAAGTCAGTATTGCTTTTGGACATTGAGTCTGTTATTACTTTTTACTGTAAATCACGCAATGTTAAATACAGTTCTTGCCTTGGTTGGATACATCTCCTCAGACCTCTGGTTCACCTTCGATTGCCACGCAGTGATCTGTACAACTGCTTTTACGCTATCATGAATAAATACATTCCAAGGTAAAATGCTTTCTTCTGTCTGTATGCTATTTTTAAGTGCATTAGAAGTATTTTGTGATGGAATGTGTATGTTGGTATGGACTACAGAAGCATTGTTTTTAGCAGTGTTGTCAGATTCCCTGATATGTTGATAAATTGAACCATTTCTCAATGCCTGGTGGTTATAAATTCTTGATCAGGTGGCTTGTTTTTCTTATTTCAAGCTGGGTATGCTGTTGAGAGTTGATTACTGCAGAAAATACCAAGGGAAAAAGAAATTGAAAAAATACTTGGGAAAAACTCAAACAGGGCTGCTGTGCTGTCACTAGAAATGTTGGAAGGTTCTTTTTGAAGTTATTTTTGGATATATATCCATCCCTAATGTTAAAACATGGTAAGGAATTAGTGACTGACTTGAATAATTGACCGTATTAGCCATTCAAACAAAATGATTTGCAAGTGTAGAATCTTATGCTAAATTCGGTAATAGAACATTATTCTTGTCACATTTTTTGTCTTGCTAACTTAATGGGAAATCAGAGATCATGTGATAATTTCCAGAAAGAATCTCCACATGGAATTTGCTATGAATATTTCCCTGTCACTAATGTAGATGTACTTTTGTTTAAGGAAGTTAGGTTGATGACTGTAGGGAGATTGGTGTATCCCATTCCACATACGCTTACTTAATGTTTTGTAGCACTTGAGATTTGTTCTTAATGCCTTATTCACACCCGCTTCTTTGTTCTAAATACTACTTTATTTCCTGCCTGATGAATTGACATTTTACTGTTAGTTGTGTGCAGAATTACCACCTTTTAAAATTCCATTGGCTGCTGTATTAGAATAATACTGTTTTGAGCTCACAACACTGGGTTAACTATGCTAGGTTTATTTTGATATTTCAATCTTCTTAATACTGCAGATATTTGAGAAAGGATATAATACAGAAGTATTAAATTCTTTCTCCTGCCTTATCAGCATAGTGGTTTTTTGGTATCTGTAGGTCCTTTTTGTTTTGGTTTGCTTTTCCTGAATTTTATGAGGTATTTTGGTTTCACGGTTAGCGCTTGTAAATCACAAGAACTATGCTGGAAATTACATTATCAGAGCTGATAAAGAATTGCTACTTTAAGTCTGATGACTGAACTTGTATTGGAAAGGTTCATGATTATTTTCACTGCTTGTTTTCAGGGATTGTTTTCTGAAGGGAAGACCATTTCACTTATTCAGGTTGCTTCTTCAGTACCATGAGCCTGAACTCTGCTCCTTTCTTGATACTAAGAAGATGACACCGGACTCATATGCACTCAACTGGGTAATAAAGTGAAAGTAGGGAAACATAATGAAAACTAAATTTATCTTGCACTGAAATATACCTTACTAGTTTAGCAAAGAGCAGTACAAGAGATTACAACTTCGTAAATTGAAATAAATTACATAGCATAGTGTGGGCTTCTTTGTCTTCAGTTGTGTGATGCAAGGTGTAAGATCTTGTAAACATGACGTTTTTATTGTTCTATATGTTGACAGAGCCATTTATGTTAGGAACTATGTGGAATGATTATGAATGAGAGCAACCAATATGGTCAAAATATAAGCAATTATAATGTTTGACATTAGTTTTTAAAGTGGGTTGTTGTATAGTTGTAGATATGGAGAAATATCAGCATAACAGATCTTTCAGAATAAGCTTTCTAATTGTTTTAAGAATGTCCATTCCAATAGATAAATTTTACTACCCAGTACAGTGCTACAGCATACAGCTGTTATGCCTTGTAGAGCTTAGACATACATATATTTCACCCTTCAAGAATCATCACATGTTCCAGTGTTTCTTGGCATCAACAATAAAATCACATGATATAGGCCAGTTGTGAATCTTCAAAAGAGGAATTGAGTCTACTGGGCCTACCTCCTTTTGTGTATTTTTCCCTAGTAAACAGAAACTTCTTTAAAGTTGTTTATTAAAAGTAGAGTGATTTATTAGGAAAAACATCTTCTGTTTGAAAGGATGTAGGGAAATGAGCTAATGTTACTGTCTCTCAGTGTCAGGCTCTCTGATGTACAAGTTTAGAGAACAATTGTAAATCTTATTTTATATAATTACATTGAAACTCACTACAAACCTTATATAGCGCTTTCTCTAAGTGTAGAAATTCATAAGCAATATTCAGAGACCTGTTGTGTCACTGTTCAGAGACATGCTGACTTCAGTGGTGTTTGATGCTGGAAGCATGGAAATATTCCATGGTAGTGTATAAAGGCAGCTAACTAAGCTTTTGAAAGCTGTTATTTTGTTAATAGCAATTTAAATGTAACAGAAAACTCAGTAAGATGCCAATGAAGCCAGTTGGGATACATTTGAATTAGGTGAGATTACAAATTTTATCTGGGATGCATAAAAGGAAATTGCTACCTTCTCTTCTATCCACTTTGAATTTTGCATTTCAGATAGTGTATTTTTAAAAGGGAGCGTGGGAACAGCCAGTTTGTTAAATGGTAATGAAAAGTTTCTGTTGCTTGCAAATGTTCAATTAGTCAGCCCTAACTAATCATAATAGAATGTTAAATAACATCATCAAACTAATGTACGACAATATTCAATTAGCTTGTTAATTGAATCCTTTTATTCTTGTTTGCTAAGCTACCTGACTAAATGTTATTAGTTTCTTGTTCTAAGTTCTGACTTAGCATAGTATATTTGGTTTTGAATGGCCGTGAGCTAAAAATCATTCCAGTCTGATTGCTGCATCACCGGTTGAGTTTTCTCTGCTTGCAACATAAAGCTGAGTTTGCCTTCCCACAAGGCATATTTATTCACACTAGAGCTGTAGCATTACTGCACTGTTTCCTTAAATATTGTTTATGAAGCTATAACTGTCTTTCAATATGTAGTACAAAGGTATATATATTTTCACATGTCTTTGTTTATTTGTTTTCTTTTAGCTGGTTGGTATCTCTTACAAATCTTATTTTGACAAGACTGTTTCTATGTTTATCTCTTGCTCACAATATTTTCTAAATTCTTAGCTTGGAAGCCTTTTCTCCTATTACTGTTCAACTGAAGTAACTCAGGCAATATGGGATGGTTATCTACAGCAAGCAGATCCATTCTTTATTTATTTTTTAATGTTGATCATCCTTGTCAATGCAAAGTAAGTGTACGGTTAAATCTTTGAAACTTTCCATGCTGACATTTACAATTGATTTTTTGTTTCATTTTGGTTTTACTGTCTTAACCTTTGCCTGTGACTTTACTGTTTTCAGAGATGTTATCTTAGCACAGGAATCAGAGAAAGAAGAAATGCTAAGTAAGTATTTCACTTATACATCTACTGGTGAAATATTCACCATATAGCACAATCCTCTTTGTTTATGTTTATTACTAAATAACTGAATTATCACTTAACTGTTTACCCACTCGTTTTTCTCATTGATACATCCTCTCACATACTAATTTCTTTCTTGTTCTTTTGCTGTGTTACATCTACCCTGTCCTGTTTTCTTTCATTTCTTTTTAGCACTCCCACACCCAGTTTTCTTCATCAGTTCAGAGTAATTGAAATAATTTGTTTCCAAGCTCAAAACAGCAACTTTCAAATCCTTTTTTAGAACTATTGCAGTTGTTGCATTTTCGTGATTATTATCTTTGTATGCACTTGATCCAGGCTTAATTCGTTGCTCTTTTCATAGCATCACAGAATGGTTTGGGTTGGAAAAGGCCTTAAAGATTACTTAGTCTAACCTTCCTGCTGTGAACAGGAACATCTTTCAATTCAGGTTGCTCAGAGTTCCATCTAGATTGGCCTAAAACACTTCCAGGGATGAGATATCCACAGCTTCTTCCACAGATTGTCCCAATGCCTCACCACCCTCATTTGTTTCTTACATTTAATATAAATGTATCCTCATTCAATTTAAAACCATTTTGCCTTCTCCTGTCACTGCATATCCTTGTAAAAAGTCTATCTCCATCTTTCTAATAAACACTGTTTTGTTTTAATATGATTAATAAAATTTACATTAAATTTCCTGTGAGCCTATTTCACTACCTTTATATTTTTATACATGGCAAAACACAATACAATCAATAAACCAGTTCTGATAGCTAAAAATGAGATCGCTCGAGGTTTTGCATCTTAGCTGTGTAGTGCAGAACTGCACCCTTGTATCATTCTAGGCAGACAACAGTACAACTTGTAAGTAACCTGTTCCAGAGGGTTTTCTTGTTCAGTCTATTTTAGGAAAGGCAGCTGACAATGTTACAACAAAAACTGAGTGTGGTAAAATTGGACTACTCTGTATCAAAGCCTTGAATTTGTGTCAAATAGGTTTCCTTAGAATGAGGAGTAGTTTTCTTTAGAGAATGAATCAACATTCATGTTGCACTTTATTAAAAAAAAATAAAAACTTAAAAAGAGATTCAAATTTAAAACAAAATTAGAAATAACTTAAAATATGGCTCTTCTCTGTCTGAAATAATGATGCACTTACATTGTTTCTATATATATATGTCAGAATTTCTAGAAACTTCACCAGCCAATCTCGAAGTAGAGGATATAGAGGATCTCTTCTCTTTGGCACAATATTACTGTAGCAAAACTCCAGCTTCTTTCAGGAAGGTAATAATGAAGTAATTTTGAAATTCTTTTCTTTTTGGTGACTGAAAACTTCTACCAACAGTACCACGTTATTTTATTGTGATATTTTAGGCATCTTTTCCATATTATTACTCTGGCAGCATTCACTTCTAGAATCTTGGAAAGATAAGAAGTTTAAGCGAAATGTATTGGCAGGAAGCTTCCCTGCAGAATTGCTGCTTCATTACCAGTGACCTTGTTTTGCAAACCAGGTTCTTGTAAGAACAGATGAAGTACAAATTCCATGCCGACAATACTGTTTTGTAGCAGACTGCACAGCAGTCTTAGCTGTATTTGTAACAGCAAGCAGAAAACAAGTCACTTACCTGAAGTAAAGCTGTGGTCACATGCTCTGTTCTTGCAGTCCTTCCTTACTCTAGAAAATCCGACTTCAGTGAATTCATGGAATAGATTTGACTATGTGGACAAAATGTGCATATGTTGGCCTTAATATTTTTGATGTTGCAAATGTATTTTTACTTTGTGCCTTCACATTTAAAGACAGTGGCTTCAGTTAACCTTTTTTTCCCCTCTTGTCTTTTCAGGACAATCACAGTCTTTTTGGCAGCAGCTTACTGGGCCTCAAAGATGATGACACAGACTTGAGCCAGGCTCTCTGTCTAGCAGTTTCAGTGTCTGAGATTCTTCAAGCGAATCAGCAGCAAGGAGTCAGTATGCTGAATTACTTTTCTCCAATTTTAAGAAAAATAAAGGAATCTCTGACTTCTTCATGTATCAGAAATACTCTGAGTGCTAACACACAAATAAATATTTGCTATTTCATGAAAAAGTATTCTTGTACTGAAGTTGTCTCCCCTTGTAAATAATCTGTTGACTGCATAACATCTGTTCTGTAGCAACCAGAGGCTACAGCGAAGGGGAACTTAATATAAATGATTTGGACCTGAGGGGTGGATGCTTGAAGTTATTCACTAATTTGAATTCCTTTCCAGATGTAGCTATTGTAGAGAAAAATTTTAAACCCACCATCATTGAGAAAAACACTGTTTTGAAATAATGGTCTGTTGTCAGTGAGCTGCTTAAACACACAAAAAATGGATTCAAGATATTTCTGTGGTAGTTCATTGCAGACATATTTAGATGCAGGGAACGGCACGTAAGACCTCTTCATACCATGCTTGCAATTTTTGAAACCAATACATGGATAATGTTGTAACTAGATTACGGTGTTTCTTGTTCACTGCTGGTATTACATAGCAGTTTATGGGTCCCAACTGGAAAATGCATGTGTTTTTTCTCCTACTGCAAATAAAGTTATGCATGTACTTATATTTAAGTTATTGGGACATAAATCTATCCATATGTGCTGTGCTTAGTAGAAATGAATTGTCAGATTAGAGCTTCATAGCCTTCTTGTCTTGTTGCTGCATGTTACTGTATCCACTACATTTATTAAGAGTAGAGGTGAAATAACTGTACTGCGTATTGTACTCTGTGATCTTTTCTGATCTGTAAGCTTGTGTATCAATGAGAAATCACTACGAAAACGCTGCTGGTCATCTGATAATAGTAGTATGGAGTTCTCCAAAATGGGGTTTTCTGATAGCTAATAGCCCATTTGAAGAAGGTTTGTGAAACTTTGGAATTACTACTAAAATATAGTTGGATTGTGTACATTCCTATCACAAACTACATGATTTTAAAATTTTTGTAATAGGTAAAATCTTTCTCTTTCAGGAAGGAGTGAGGTTCTTCGTAGTGGATTGTCGTCCTGCAGAACAGTACAATGCTGGGCACTTATCAACAGCTTTTCATTTAGACTCAGATTTGGTTCGTATGATATTTGTTTCTCTACTGATTTTTGAGTCCCAGTTTAAGTAGAAGGAAAGAGGAATGTCTGTCCTGAAAAACAGCTTGTCTGGACAACTGCAGTCTAGCTACATTACAACGATTCAATACTAAAGACAACTGGTGGTACCATCATTTTGCTGAGAAGTGTAGTCCTTTGAGACATTGGAATGTGGGATTCCAAACTTCCTGGTCTCTGGTGAGAATTGGCAACTCGTAGAAGCAAAAGTCTAGACATTGTTGGAGAAATCATCTCTTTTTAGCACTACAGTAGCCTGGTCATAAGGAGCACACGTCCTGAAAATGGTGTGGTTGCTCCTTTAAAATGCTGGCAAATAGCATGAGAGAGGAAGTGCATTAATCTTGGGACTGAGATGTACTGTAGACTAATTACTTTATTAAAAATTTTGCTGTAGTTTCTATTTGATTGTGAATTTCTAATTGAACATTCAATCGTACTTCTATCATTTTTCCCCAAATCACCTATGCTTCATTTCTGTTTTAACCCTCTGCTGTTTCATTCCATACTGCTTCCATAAATGCTCTGAATTAATTTTTCTTTACATATGGCACAACAAGCTGTTTTACCTTTCTCAGTTAAGGAACACAATCCTGCCTCTAGTATCTTAATCTCTGTAGTTAAGATACTGTATTATTTGGTATGATTTGCACAAGCATAAATGTTTAGTGTTTGGGGTTTTAACTTAGATAAAACATTATTTAGGAAGAACTTTCCCAGCAGTACATGAGAGTGTTTTTTTCTAGACTTAATTAAATACCAGATTCAATAAAGTAAAAATAAGCATTATAAACTGCTAATGAAGCTTGTTAACATTTTGGGGAAAACATCCACAAAAGTAATTTTTAAATTGGACATTATTGGTTATTGCATATTTAAGTTACTCTGTAGAGCTATGTGTCAGTTGACGTAGATAAGATCTATTGCAAATCATGCTGCATGAAGGTTGCCAGGCTCACCTGTATTCTTAGAAATACAGTGTGAGGAAAAAATTACAGAGAATAATCTTTGAGACAAAAAACCATTCATGGAAATTCAGTGCCTTTTGTGTATTTATATATATTGTATTTGGATGTGGTGCTTAGGGACATGATTTAGCAGAGGGTTGTTAGAGTTAGGGTAGTATGGTTAGGTTGTGGTTGGACTTGATGATCTCTAAGGTCTTTTCCAACCTGAGCAATTCCATGATTCTATATGCAAAGAAAATACAGTTTGCTTTAGGGAAAGACTGTGGATAAAAACACAGGCAGTTTTAGATAGGTGCTAAATTTTACTGCATGCTCTAAGTAATAAAGCACCAGCACTCGGTTCTAGGAAACCCTAGTTAAAATTCAGGCAAATGTACTGATGGATACCCCATGTGCTTTGTAATTCTTCATTTAATCCAGTGTAAAAGCTAAGTAAGGGTGATGTTTTCCCCTGTAAATCCAGTTACAGATCAACATTTCCTCATTAATTTGATTAATTGCCTTCCTCATAATAGCAGGCAGAAATTTCACATGTATCTAGAATGTCCACGTTTCTCCATCTCTTTTGTGTAGCAGTGCATTGCATTTGCGTGCATAATAGGCCTTCAGGAGACCACAGCCTTAACTTTTTGAAAGTACTAAGAACTCCAGGTATCTCCTTGTATTTCTGATTAGCTTCTTTCCCTAAATCTTGATAGGGCAATGAAAAAAAGCTCTGCAAGGAGACAAGAGGAGAATCTTATTGGCACCTATAAATTCTAGGTATTTTAAAGGCTTCCAAAATGGCAAAGTTAGAAAGTGCTGTACTTGGTCATATAGAAGTAACAGAAATCAGTTTCTCTGACATATTGCCAGCTTACTGCAACATAAAAGTTGCAAAGACTTTTTTTCCATCATTATTTAGTGTCTGTTATTAAAATAAGCTGAGATACTGAAGTTGTATTTATTTCCTGGGGAGTGCAATGAGGGGAAAAAAAGGACCATTCTCCATGTTCTTTAGGAGGAAGGAGGTCTGGGTTGAGCTGTCTGATGTGTCTGTCTGTCTGTCTGTCCAGTAAAGTGCTGATGCTGCATTGTTTGTGCTCAACAAATTACAACCATTTTCAAAGTCTGTATCTTTTCACAAGTTATGTTGCAGTATGTCAGTGTCAAACAGACTTTCTTGTGCATTCCACAGATGCTTCAAAACCCATCAGAGTTTGCACAGTCTGTGAAATCCCTATTAGAAGCACAAAAACAGTCTATTGAGTCTGGCTCTATAGCTGGTGGGGAACATCTCTGCTTCATGGGAAGTGGCAGGGAAGAAGAAGATATGTATATGAACATGGTGCTGGCACACTTCTTACAGGTACAACTAAATTACTGCTGATTTTAATAGTTGAAATAAAGTTTATCTGTTTGTATGATTGATACTAAATGACAGAATGTTTTCCCCTTCAAATATGAGCTGTTTTAACATTATTTAGATTTTGTGGTGATTTTTTTTTAAACAAACCTGCATTTGATTGCCATGCTTGCAAAACTCTATCCAGGGATGTTTTCTTCAGCCAAAAATGTGTTTTCTGTTGCAGAAAAATAAGGAGTATGTAAGCATAGCCAAAGGAGGATTTATGGGTAAGCTTATTAATAACAACTTTTGTATTAATATTGTCTTAAGAAAACAGGGTATCTTAATGTTGTTGATATTTTTATTAGCCTTCAGCTAGAAATCACTTAAATGAATGGCAAATTTGTTTCATTTGCCAGGTTTATTGTTTGTTCAGGTCTGCCTTTAAACATGTATGGATAACTGTTACAGCGTACCTGCATTTCTGATTGGTGCAAAATTAGTGCAGAAAGTAGGGGAAATTTTCTCATCCAAGTGTTCATTCCTTGTGTTTAGTCTCTGCACAATGCAGATCCATGGCAAGATGCTGCTTAATAATTAGTGTGTTTCCTTAAACTCTTAGTTCATCATTTCACAGTTGGTTGCTGGAATCAATCAGTAAGGCTCTACAGCAGTGGGATGTCTATACCATACAAGTACAGAGATATTGCTAGTCAATATGTGCAGCTACCTGTAGGATCAAAGCAGTGACTTATTTTTTGCTACTGCTGTATTTGATTTCTTTGTTTTTAAATAATAACTGTGCTGATGCCTGTTATTACTCAAAAAACAAACAAAAAATAGTTATATTATAGCAGTATCTGTATTTAACTTTACTCATTCAGATGGAGCAAAGAATTGTTTCAGATTAGTCTTGGTTATACAGTATTTTTATCTACAGATTAATGCCACTGTAATTCTGAACATTTTAACGGCCTTTTAACAGCCCTTCAGCAGCACTTAGCAGATATCAACGTGGAAGGACCAGAAAATGGATATGGTCACTGGATTGCTAGCACCTCAGGCTCCAGAAGTAGCATAAACTCCTCTGTCGATGTAAGTGAATATTAAGCTCAAGTGATTCAGTGGTTTCAGAGCCATTGAATGTACTGAACTTTTTCTTCAGGCTCCTCCTTTTTACGTGTGAAGTGCATTACTGCATGTCACAATTGTTCTCAGATGTGTATTTAATTTCAGACTTTATTCAGCTCTAGTTGGAGGTGACCTAAAGATTCTTGTCCTCTGGAAAGGAAGAGCCTACCTATAGAGAGAAACTCTCTAGGAGTTCAACAGAGTATAAGTAGTCATTCTCCAACAGAGTATAAGTAATGGGCAGTGCTCTTCTTGGCTTCTTTTCACTCTGGGAATAACATACTCCAAAGCTGGCTTACAGTTTCATAGGAAAGCTCACAGTTGTCTTTTCTCTACAGCTAATGTGTTAGACCTAGAACTTGGCTTTTGATTTGGATGCAATTTGGCACAGATGGAATTCCTTTTCTATTTTTCATATAGAATGCTGATTAATATGGTTTGTTAGCTTGCTTTTTCAGGTTTTTAGTTCAGACCCACGTTGCTGTTGTCATTTGATAGAATTCAAAAGAGCGTGTAATGCTGTTGTTGATGTTCTGTTGAGTTTAATATCTTGCAGTCTGTTTCGTCTCTTAAAGAAAACAGGACCCCTAATTAAATTGCCTGATTTTTTTAAAACGATTAATCCTGAGAAGAGTTACTTTTACAGGGTGATTCTCCTAATGGTTCAAGTGATGGAAAGGGAGTCAAGTCCTTGGTGAATAAAATGACAGTTGCTTTGAAGACTAAATCTGTGAACGTGAAAGAAAAAGTTATTAGTTTCATTGAAAACACATCCACTCCAGTGGACAGGTGGGTCATTTATATCTCACTACGATTAACAGTGAGGGATGCCACCACTTCAGGTGGCCATTTTGTAAATGTGAAGACAAAAGTTACCTTATAGTTTCAGCCTTTAGATTTCACACTGCCTGCCCCCTCCACTGGTGGAGCTTGTTGTGCTGCCTTAGAAATTGCAAGGCGACTGTGAGTGACCTTTTCTTTTGAATGTTTATCTGAAATTTGTCACTGTGTGATTAGTTTGAATTACTGTCATATATTTTCTATCTTCAGACAAAAAGTTGAGAACAATTTCACTATTTTGGTGAAATACTAACTCTAATGGAATGGGTAATGAAAGAAAGATTCTGGACGTATTTCTGTTGTGTTGGGTTTTTTGGGGGTTGGTTGATTGTAATTTTTTACTACCCCATCCAATCAAGTTGAGGATGAAAATATTTGAAGATAGCAGTTTTCCAATTCTGGTGTAATTTTTAAACCACAAATCAACTCTTGTTCATTTGTTCAACTGCAAGTAGAAATGGGAATGAGAACAGGCAAGCATGTTAAAAGACACTTTCAAAGTATGAAGTCTTCTTTCTAAATACTTACCTTAAACAGATTAAAAAATGGCAGCTCTCATCTGAAGTTTTAATTGAATAGCCTGTTTCAGAATTCTTTCAAATTCAGCCCTTGGAGTTGTATGTGGCAAAGACATGAGTATTGCAGAATCTCACAGAGGTAGTGTTTGCTTGATAGCAGGAATTAAGGCATAGGTCACACCAACAGCAGTTTTTTGGTAGTTGTGCATTTAATTAAATGTACAGATTGTTGCTGGTGCGTTAGAATTATATTTTTTTAACTGTTCACAGCAGGAAGCAAAAACTTCTTAAATCACATTTGTCTTGTAAAGAATTCCAGTAGGACACATATTTCTATAAAAGCCACAGTTAGCATTAAGGAATACGTTGTTAATAACATTTTTACAGGTTTCTTTACCTCGCAGCTAGCTGTCACAAGGAATTGCTTAATTTCTTTACAAACAGTCTCTTTGAGAGAGATGCATTGCCAGTACAGAGCATTTCCATTGCTTCTCCAGGTTTTTTCCCTTGAACCTTTTTTTTTTTTTTTTTTTTTTTTTGTAATTCTTTTGTTCTGTCCTCTGCCCCAATTTGCTATAGAATACCTTTCAATATTCCGTGGCCAGACAGAGCAAGCCTGGAGCGGTAAGCTTGAGAATTCAGCAATCTGACTAAAACCACCCTTGTTGTATTTAGCATGGCATTGCAATATTTGTAAGCATTGGTTACACTGACAAAATTGCTCAGATGTTTTCATGTTAATTCAGTGGGTTTAAATCTATCAAAGCTTTTTACAAGTACTACTCTGGGGACTAGAGGAAGAAAAGAGTGCATTGGAAGTGCTTTCTTCTCTTGGGTTCTGCTCTGTTACTCCATTTTCTTCCTCATGGTGGCTTTCTGCAGAACAATTTTTTTTCTGTTTATTTCTAGTTATTCTATTTTATAAATGACATGTACTAGTGAGACACCAGGAACAGGTACTGATGTTACTGAAGGAGTTGTGGCCTCAGAGAGACTGCAGCTACAGAAACAATTTGCTTCAAATTATTCATGAAGTATCAGAACTTCAGAGGATAGACTTACTCTGTAAGGAGCCATTCTGAAATTTTGTCTTAAATTTGGAATTTGTGTGCTTCTTACATCTCAGCATGCACTGACAGAACTGATAGAACCAGAAGTACTCATTACTGGGAAAGGAAAAATGCTGAGGTAATAAGTAAACGTGCCTTAAACTTTCCCTCATCTTATTCACATAACTACTGCATCTCACACAGACGTGGAGTGCCCTCACATTTGCCAGATATATTACCTCATCATTATTTCACAAACCACAAATGTGGCTTTGTGGTGAATGGAGGATTTCCACAGCTGTACACGCTTCCACAACTCGTGCATAATCACTTAGGAACTTTGCTTATACTTTAGGAACATTGTGTTACAGCTTTTTGCCCTCATGGACTGAAAAGTACTAAGATTGGTGCCAAAGGGATTAATGGAGAATTAAAATGCTTTCTGAATTCTCAACAATTTTGGTCCACTTCTTTCCAAGTAGATTGCACGTACTTGAAAATAATTTTTGCCTGTGGGCAAAACCAATAATAATGCTAACCAGTATCCTTTTACAAAAATAATTAAAGAAGTGCAGCTGTCCCAGTAGCACTTTACATATTCTGTTAATTTTAGAAATCCTAAATATTGTGGAAATTTTTACACTCGTTTTGTTGATCAGTTTTTAGGATGCTTTAAAATGCTCTTTCATTTCTCATCTTGACTAACGTTGCTCTTTACCAATAAGACCTTCTCTTAAATCTTCCCTGTGTAATCCAAGTCAACATGACTTAAATGTGTTTCTTCTCACTCAATTGGTTATGTATTCCTAAAACAAGTCCATATTTACCAAAATGTATGTAAAGAAACACTGCCCTCTTGAATTGTCAGTGTCATTGATGCTTATTGTCTTAAGCACTAATTAGCATGTTTCTGTATGTTTATTTTTTGTTGTTGTTGTTGTTTTTTGTAGAATGCATTTTTTCCTATTAAACATTTCCTTGTTTTGTCTACACTGCTAAGTTTTAGTCACAGAAAACACAGATTGCTTTTTTAAACTTTCAAATTTGCTTTCAAATATATATAAATACAGAGTGTCAAATGCACTAGCATTTGTTTCTGTATTACTGGAGAGGTGGCCTCCATGACTTGGTTCTACAGTAGCTTGTAAACAAGTGTGTGAACATACTCAGAACAGGAACCAGGTGTTATAGTTGATAGGAAATGTAGATATTGTGGAGAAAAAGTTACAGAAATTACAAAGGGAGAAATGGACAGGTGTGTTTTGGGGTGATGGTTTTTGTTTTGAACTGTTACACGTTGCCTGGTATAAAGGCAAAAATCATGAATTTTTGGGCATTGTTGTTTTGGTATCGTTTTTGTTTGTTCTTCGGCAGTTGCACATTTGGAGGCTTTCTGAACACCTTAGGTTTTCTCCTATTTGTTTCAAGTATTTCTCTGCAGTTAATCTCCAGAACCTTCAACACGGCACCTGTGACTGTCTTCACATTACTCTGAGCTGGAGCTTTAAGCTGCCTCAGTTGGTAACTGAAGACACCTTAAACATTAAGACTCGGTTATGTTTGCTTGTGTCATTTAACATCATCTGTAGAAGCAGATTTAAATGTGATTTTGAAGTCAGTATCTGTGCAGAAATCCCAGTGATGCTGAGGTTAGCAGTAGGCATTGCTTGACTAGAGATTATAGGACTGGACTCATTGAGGAAGCAATCCTGACAGGAACTCAGAGTTCACACTACAGTGAATGCTTTACAATACTCCCCCTTTGAAATGGTTAAGCTATTTCATCTTTCTGAAGAGTGACCTATTTACTAGAAAAATGAACTTCTAGACTTGCTAATTAATAGTCTTCATCTTTTCCTCCATCCCAATTTGGCACTTTCTTTCATAAACCTATCCTTGATGTTCAGAAACACTTCAGATTGAACTCAAGAGTTCCATGCTTGAAACTTCATAGCATGTGTTCAGTTTTCCAGTCTCTTAATGTATTTTGTCACTTGAGAAGGTGATCAGAAGTTCCTTCTAAGCGTTTCTTTTACTTTGTTACAGTATTGAGCCTTGCCAAATAACTGTGAAATACAGGCTTTCACTAACCAGAATGCTTGATGGGTTGACTTTCCTTGTAGGCTTTGTGGAAACTTCTCTTTTTCAATTGCACGTTGTATTTACATTTTGCTAGTATGTTTTGATAGGATTCATACCATCAGTTTGAAGTTGTCTTCTTCCCATCCATCCAATGTCCCTTCCTCCCTTTTCATTGCCAGCAGACATGTCAGCAGCAGTGACAGAGTAGGAAAACCTTACCGTGGTGTGAAACCAGTATTCAGCATCGGAGATGAAGAAGAATATGACACTGGTAAAGCAGACAATTTTCCTCTTGCTTACATAAACATGCTTAGACATTAAGTGTCCATAAGTCAGAAGTGCATGTTGTACATCTTTGTCTTACAGTATGACATTTTTCCAAGTATTATCATTGATCATGGTTGTTAATGGTGGTTTCATCTTTTTATCCACTTGAAAAATTATAGGCAAAAGTGGAACACACATCACAAGTAGCCATTCTGTGCCCAAACAAATAGCTAGACTAGGAATTGTTGACTTGAAAATGAAATAATTTAGGAAGATAAAGAAAAGAGATTTATAATCCCTGGAGTTGTTTAAATGATCACTTGTTTTCTTGTATAAGAATTGGGAAGGAGCAAAATGAAGCGAGCTTTAACAATAACAAGATACTTCTTCAAATCCCATATAGCTAAGTTTAAGTTTGTGCCATTCTTTATCACAAAATATTATGGATGCTCAGAGCCTATACGGTTTCAGAAAACCAGGTCCTAGAAGATTAATTGCCTGGGACATACCTACTGTAATGTCTTTTAGCTAATTTCTACTTACATTTGCTCTTAAAAGCACTGTTGGACTTGAGTAAGAAGAATCACTGCAGTGATCTGAATAAGACAAGCCGACACATGCAGAGAAATGTGTTATTTTTATTACAGAAGAGTGCAAAAAGTGAAGCTAATCTCTTTTTTGTGAAGTTTTAGTATGGTTTAGGCATTTTTGTTTGGTTGGGTTGTTTTAGTAGTTAAATAACTGCAATCAGCTAAAATTGCAACTTGGTCAAAGAGGCCCTGATTGAGCCTAGGGGTTGGACCAGATGACCTCCAAGCAGATGTTTGTCCTGACCTCAGCCTTTATGTGATTCTATGGAATGAGGGCGGATTTTGTCTCATTCCTTCCAATTTCACAGTTATTTTTCCATGAGAACCTTTTCAAGTGTGTGTTTATAATTCTGAAAGAAATAATATAATTAAGTGTAGAAAATTGGCACTTTAAAAAGGGACACTTTAATAAGTTGTCCTTGGAAGTTAATTCTGGGGGTATCTTCTATGTACATCTTCTAATACACTTCAGTGCTTCAGATAAGTAGATTGATTTAATTCTTCTAATATAGCACCAAAAGTGCTGTTTAAATGTAATCATCATATTAAGACATAAAAGCAGTACTTTACAACTTGTAGAAAATGTTAGGCTGATTTGGCTGTTGTCCAGCCAGTGGTAGAACAGTAGGTTTATGATAGGTTAAATGCAAGCAATTAATAGGAGAGGAACAGAATAAAACTGAGGTCATTCTGTCTCTGTATAAACCTATTGTTCTCCTACACACTGCATATTGTGCATCTTGATCCTCTATCAGAAATAATGTGCTTGAACAGAAGGTTCAGAGAGAGGTAGCAAATGTGAGGATAAGTGTGAAATGGCTTTCACACTCAGGCATAATTGAATATATTAGAACTTTTGTCCTGTAAAATACTCAGCTTAGGGAAAGAAAAGTGGCCTATAAAATAAGCTAGATCTAGGAAGGGATCTACAGATCTTTTCAGATTGTTTTTTTCCATGCAAGAAACAAGGAGCCATCAAGTAAAGTACACAGTCTGAAAACAAATAAGAGGAGGCCTTCTTGGAATTATGCCATATTTTCAGTACTCTTACTGAAAGATACTGGTTTTATAGATGAAAAAGTTTACATAAATTCATGGGGAGTCTGGACAAACCCATGTAGAAGAGATCTATCACACTTTACTGAAAGAGCAAAAAAAAAGCAGTTTAAGAAATCACAGGAGCTGAAAAGAGCTGTCTGCTGAGAGAGAATTAATAGAGACGTATCAAATATGCATGCTGCTTTTTTCCCTCAGAGGAATTGTATATGGATGCTTAGGGGCTGGGTGGACCCTGGTTTAAAATAGCATAGTTTCTATTGTTTTGAGTGAATTGAAAAGTTGTCTGACATGTAATAATCTTTTGTCCTTATAAACCACCGTCTTTTCTTCAAATAGATGAAATTGACAGCTCTTCAATGTCTGATGATGATCGAAAAGAGGTTGTCAACATCCAAACATGGATAAATAAACCTGATGTGAAGTATAACTTCCCCTGTAATGAAGTAAAAGAAAATGGACATATGTTTCCCAGGTAGTGGAATTAGTCCTAAACTTAATGAACATGTCTGTCTCAATACACTTCTAAAAATATGCTCAAGCAGTTAAGCTGTTCTTAATACTATATCAGAAAATGAAGATGTGAAGCAACATAAGAACAAAATATTACCACTATATTTCCATTCTTGTGTTTTCAGTGTTAATTATGTACAAAACATAGTATGAAGGTTTACTTTGTAAAACAAGAAAGGAAGAAAAATGTGCTTAGTATACATAGGCTTGCTTTCAAAACCAGGTAGACCTGAGTATCAGTTTTTTCATTCAGTTTTTTCTTATCTAGCTCTCTGCCTTGTACTGTTTGCTCATCTTGCCCCTAAGATTCAGTGACCTTGTTTAACCTGCAAGAGCAGAAAATGATGCTTTAGGGAGATTTAGGTTAGATGTTAGGCAGAAATTCCTTACTCAGAGAGTGGTGAGGCCCTGGCACAGCTGCCCAGAGAAGCTGTGGTGCCCCATTCCTGGAGGTGTTCAAGGCCAGGTTGGATGAGATCCTGGGCAGCCTGAGCTGGTGGTTGGCAGCCCTGCACAAGGCAGGGGGTTGGAACTGGGTGGACTTTAAGGTCTCTTCCAACCCAAGCCATTCTGGAATTCTATGCTTACTGCATTTTAGCTTCCCTAAAGAGTACAAATCCTACTGAATGTGGATAACAGAAAATTACGATGATCGTTCTCTTTCATCACGTCTGTTAATGTCTTTTGTTAACATAAACCAAATGGAAGCATAAGATTATATGCCATATGAAACGTGGAGTGATCTGTCACTCAGCTTGCACATGGTCACACACATGCATTGCTTCTGGGAAGAAGCCAAAAGTGGGTCTTGAACTGAGTGGGCAAGTGAGCAGTTCCACATTAGTGCTTGCATAGCGACAGTCAGTCATGGCGTAGGTCTGATGCTTCACATGTAGAGTTGCAACTCTGTAGATGAAGAGATGGCATTGGAGTATGACTGAAGGATGGAAGACAAAAGCTGGAGACATTTTCCCCACACTGCATGACCTGACTTGTTCCAGGTGGTTTTTGATACTGATAGCACTCATAACGTTTGTGATGAGGTGATGATGCAAACTGCTCAATCTGATTATCTATGTTACGAGGCTGCCATGCTTGTTTTTAAAAATGGTTATGATGCAGTACTCTGGGAAAATTGGAAGTATTTTGTAGACATACCTAATTGACAGAAGTACCAAATCGTTCCTTAGATTTGCAAACCGTTCTACCTAGTTCTCTGTGTAACTTGTTTGTAAAATTTAGCTTTGTAAGTAGCTGATTTTTAGTGAAACAAAAAATATGATTGCTTTCTTTCTTTCCTTTCAAGTCACCTCCTAGTAACGGCAACCCACATGTATTGTTTGAGGGAGATTCCATCGCGGAAGGGGCTGGCTTACATACAGTCTCGACAGGCACTCAACTCTGTAGTCAAAATCACATCCAAGAAGAAGCACCCAGAACTGATCACCTTTAAATATGGAAATAGCAATACTTCAGGCATAGAAATTTTGGCAGTTGAAAGGTAAGCCCTCTTAGTAGCTACCGGTATTAGTAGCAATGATACATAGGATGCTGTCAGCTGGAAATCAGATGTGTGCTGTAATTCCCAAAACCGAGTTAAAAAGTAATAGATTTTGTTTAGGAGCAGATATTCAGATATGAGCTAGAAAGAATATCTGCCAGTAGAGTGAAAAAGTAAGGAGAACAAGCTGGGGGAACTCCAGGATCCCCAGTGACTGTTGCAGAGGGTGAGATGAATATGAGAGTTTTCTTGCTGTAATGCCTTAGTTGTCCTTCATTTCATGTATCTGCTCCCTGAAGTACAGCTTTCTGAAGGGTGGGATTTAAAGGAGAGGTCCTCCTTCTGTGCTATGCTTTTTGAGACATTCCGTTTTTCCTGTATCTTGTATAAGGGTCTGATCTCAAACTCCGAACTCCTAAAAACCTAAGTTTTGAAAATTAAACACTGCCATGATTAGCACTGAAATATTTAATCCTGGAGAAGATGCCAGGGAGATGTTGGTTTGTTTGCTTTCATCAGCAAAGCCTCCTGTTTCTTGACACTGCTTTAACAAAGCTGCTGATATCAGTTGGTCATTTCCTCATCCTTTTCCTTGCTGCAAATGGTGTGCAGCAAGCGCTCTGTTTTCAGAATAAGTGGGAGATGACTTTCCTGCTTCACCAGGAAAGTTTGTCTGTACCTGCTGGCTGCTTAGGGTAAAATGAGTTTGGTATTACGTCCAACACAGGTAAGTTAAACATATTGCAGAAAGCTGTGCTGCTTGTTGAATTACTTCCTCACCAGCTTACTGACTGGACCAAATACAAAAGAGAAGATGGCAACTTAAATTACCTGGAGATATCCATAGGAATAAAAAACAAGAAAACCAAGGACTGACATACATGTGTCAGACACTGGTACCTGTAGCAATCAATCTATGCCATTGTTAATTAATAAAGAATTTTTTCTTTCTAGAATGGTTTGTGAAATACTGAACAGATAAAATTTCACATGCAGAAAATGTTTTGTGAAAAATAAATGTTAGTTCCTCAGTAGGTCTTCATTTTAATAGCGTCCCCTTCTTTTTGCCCTTAATCTGTGCAAGAAAGAAAAATGAAAGAAAGAAAGAATTTCAGTTGATGCTTGAAAGTTTTCTAGTGAATTAATGATGGCTTTTTTTTTTTTTTTTAAGGTATCTGATTCCAAATGCAGGTGATGCAACCAAAGCCATAAAACAACAGATCATGAAAGTATTGGATGCCTTGGAGAGTTAATAACTAAAGACGTTGTAGAAAAGAGTTTATAAAGAAGAAGTAACAAAGATACTGTATGTGGACATGAGCTGATGGTTTCCCAATCAAATACTAACTTTGTGTTTTTTCAGTTTACTGACGGGAGTGCCTGGATAGCAGGCTTAAGATAGGGTAAATTATTACCAATTTCTGAACAAGATTTTTAATTTCTTTTATTTTGTAGAAGTACGTATTATAAAGGTCAGTTTGTTTCACTGCGATGCACCTTTAATAGGAGTGATGTGCACATTTTAAGAGGGCGTGCTGCTAGGTTCATACAAGTATGTTAAAAGAACGAAGCAAAGTGGAGAAGCAGTAGAAGACAGGATGGCTGATATTTGAAATGGCTGATATTTGAAATGACTGATATTTGAAAGCAAAATATCTCCATAGCCTACAGTCTATAAATTTGATTTTTGCCCATTGGGTAATAAATTGAACTATTAAAAACTTAGCTTTGTAAGCAGAGCAGATAAAATCTTAGGAATAGTGCTTCCTTTCAGTTAGAAATGGGCAAGTGCAGATGAAGGGGAAGAAATGCCAATAATTTGGAAAATTAACATTTTAGCAGTCCTACGAAATTAAATTTACATTAAATAATTGGAATGGAACATAAGGGTATCTTTAAATACCAAAACGAACCATGCGCAATAAACCTTTCCTACAGGGTTGTGATTTCATTAATTATGCTAAATTTTACATTTGATAGGTTGAAATTGCTTCTCGTGGGAGGGTGAGTGCACGCATTGAAATGTGTATGGCAGTGGAAAACCAGCAATCTGGCTCCTGTCAAGTAAAATGTCTAAAATATGAGTTAGGCTTTTAAAAGCCTTCAGTTCAGCACAGAATTGAGTTTATGTTGACTAAAGGAGTGTTGAAGATTGAAGGTGTGGCTAGAAAATTAATGCATACAAATAAAGTGAAGAGATTTCCTGTGCTGTGGCTTGCACTTGCAATAAATGCTTGCAATAAATGCCACCTTCATTGGTTCAACATTTATTTATACTCCTTTAATAACTGTAAGCTAGTGAATGTTTGAGAGAAGGCAGCTGTGTAATAGTGCATTTCTGGCTTTCTGTGTGGTACAGGAATGGATCCCTTCTAGGAAGCCCAGTACAGGAATGTCCTTGTGGCTGAGGCAAAGTACCTTTGTAGACAACTTTGTGGAAATTACCAAAAATTGTGAAGTCAAAAAGTTAGGGGTTAGTTTTGCTGTGTGAAGTTTTCTGGTTGAGTCAAAACCTGTGAACTGGTACATCGTCGGGAGAAAAAATAAACTGACCTTTATAAAAGCCAGTTATTCTAAGTTATTTTACTAGGAATCAAGCTAGGGCACCTTAATTCTGGAACTAATTCCTTTTTTTTTTTTCCTTACTATCTGAGTAAACACCATTAGAACTTGAACGGTTAAAGATATTTGCATGAAATTGCACCTGGGCCAACTCTCGTGTATTTATAGTTTTGCCCAGCAGCTGTTGTATTACGTTTTCTTCTTCCTCCTCCCTTCTGAAAATATCCTGAAGAGTCTCCGACTCCGTGCCTACTTCAGCAATGAGATTTTTTTCATGTAAAGATGTTTGTGTTACTGTTTATAAACGACGGATGTAAATAAACCAGTACAATTTGAACATAACTTCTGTCAGCACAGCGTGGGATTCATTGAATCAGTTAACAGGTTTTCTTAGAGGCATGCTGTAAATGGGAGCTATGAGTGGAAGTCAGCCTGTCGTTTGCAGAAGAGGTGGTTGATTGTGGATCACGGGGAGCTGCTGTCAGTAGCATGTTAATGTAAGTATGCTGGAATTTTGACTGATTGGATTAAATACTTTTGGGTGAACTGTGGTCAGCTTTCCCACAAGGTCGAGATAACAAATGACCAGATCACAGAGGAGGTATCTGTAAATTCCACTCATCTCAGCATCACACGCTAATATTGCACTGACAAAATGTTGAGAACATACAGCACGTTTCTTAGCCATGAGAGTGCGAACAGGAGAAATAAAACAGAAAACAGAATTAGGGGAGAATTAGGAATTATGTCATGTGCAGGTGAACTATACAGCGATATCTTGAAGAATCTGATTACTTGTAATGAGCTGCACTGCTGAGAGAGAGGAGCGGAGCGGAGCGGAGCCCTTCCGCTTGCTCACTTGTCTACTCGTGCGCTGCTGCTCCGCCCTGAGCCGTAGGCACACTCTGGGACTACATTTCCCAGCAGCCCTTGCGCTGCTCTGGGCGCATGCGCCCGGCCGGGGCGGAGCGCGGAGATGCAGGCGGCGCGCGGAGCCATGGCCAGTGAGTGGCGGCGCCGGCGCGGCGGGTCGATTGGAAGGGCGCTTCCTGGCCACGCGGCGCTGCTCGGGCGGGCCGGGGCGCTGCGGGTGTGACCCACTAATGGCTGCTGTAAAGGGCGGCTCGGCAAGGCTGGCACCGGCTCCGTCACGGAGATGAGCGCAGAGCTGCCGCGGGCCTGCAGCGCTTTGTTCCCGGTTGGCTACACCTGGCCGCGGGTGCTGTCCTACAACCTGCCCTACCACCTGCTGCTGGAAATGGAATGCTACACGCATTCAAGGCCAGGCTGGATGTGGCTCTGGGCGGCCCGGTCTGGTGCTTGGCGACCCTGCATGTAGTAGGGAGGTTGAAACCAGGTGATCGTTGCGGTCCTCCCTGCACTAGGAGGCCATTTCCAGAATCATGCAGCCACTGCAGAGCCATTGGAAGTGGTTTGTGCTACGTCCACGTGCGGGCAGATTTATTCCGCTACACACTCATTCATGAATTAAAGTTATGAAGTTTTACCTGGGGGAATTCTGCTGGGTAATTTCTTCTTTTCTGCCAATAGATTTCCGCCTGGCACTGATTCAGCTTCATGTATCTGCTGTTAAGTCAGATAACCTTCAGCGAGCCTGTGGGCTGATAAGGGAAGCATCAGCCAAAGGAGCAAAAGTTGTGGCTCTGCCCGTGAGTAAAGATCATCATTTACATAATTAAATAAGTGTTTTTAACACAATTTTGCATTGTGATTCAAAATGCCTGTATCTCACACTCTTGGCAAACCTCTGTTTACTGTTAACCATGCATTATCTATTCCTGTTTCTCACTGGATATACTTGGATAATTTAACTGAGACTGGGAGGTTTAGGTTAGATATCAGGAGGAAGTTTTTCACACAGAGGTGGTGACGCACTGAACAGGTTGCCCAAGGAGGCTGTGGATGCCCCATCCCTGGAGGCATTCAAGGCCAGGCTGGATGTGGCTCTGGGCAGCCTGGGCTGCTGGTTGGCGACCCTGCACACAGCAGGGAGGTTGAAGCCAGATGGTCATTGTGGTCCTTTTCATCCCAGGCCATTCTGGATGCTGTAGGAGGCTACAGAAGGGAAAACATTCTTGTGTGGAAACTCAATGACAGCATTTTTGATCGCTTTTGATTTCCTTTTTGAACTTCATATCTGTTTCTCTGTATCAGTGAGGTGATCTTCCCAGCATACCTGGAGGTACACAGTACTGTGCCCTGCAGCATCTGACTTAGGAGGGCAAAGTTCTTTTCTGGGTGAACTTTTGGTCTGAATGCTTTACACAAAGAATGTTTCTCCCTCCCGCTCTCACAGGCAAAACATTAAGCAACCTCCCCTTCTTTTTTGTGCTAACACAGCTCTTTTATTGCAAAAATGACCTTTGATTGCTCTGTCTGGGCCTCCTAGTTATCTATTATTTGCTACTTTTGTCGTGTGTACAAACAAATAGTAATTTCTGTTCATAGAGTAAAACCTCTCAAACAAAAGCACTTTCTGTTTGGGAAGGTAAACTTTGTACTAACGCCAAGAGGTGAAATATTCTCACCTCCACCTTGTTTTTGAAGTCACACTACATATAGAAGTAATATGCACCAAGCATACAGCCTACAGCTTTTCACAATTTATTGACCATTTCTTTTGTGGTGTTGGTCTTCATGTGTTTTTGATTTCTGAACCTAGAAAAATGTGGAAGAAAAATGCTTTGTAACACTTATGGATAAAGGAATAATAACAGCAGAATCCATTTTAATCTGGAATGCGATTGAAAGCCATTCAAAGGTCTGTCCCTGCATTCTTCCCAATCTGGAGAGCAGGGGAAGAGATGATTTGTGCAATCTGCAGTTCTGTTCTAGCACAGCCCCATGAGCTGCTGCAGCTCATGCAGATCTTCACCTGTTCTCCTGAGTCTGTGGTTTCAGTCACTCGCACTGCCTTGCAAAAGCAGCAAGATGAAGGTGGGGGCAGCTGGCAGTGCTTTCATTTCCTTGAAGTGCTGTCCAGATTTCAAAAGCCCAGGGAGCAGATCTGACAGTCTGCAGAGACTTGCTTCCCTCCTTGGACCTGCAAATTGTGTGCTATGGATTGGCCAGCTCTGCTGGCCCAGTGTCATATATATGCAGCCAAGGCAATTTCCATCTAATTTTGGTTCAATTCTATCGCCCCTGCTATTAGATAATCCCATCTGTGGCCTTCAGCTGTAACTCCCTTAGAAGGAGACAGAGGTTGCAGAGGGAGGTGTGTCTCGCATCCTCCTGGAGCTGGGAAACATAAGGCCAAGTGAAAGTGACTGCTGTGGGCCTCTCGAGTACCACACAGAGCACTGTTAATATTAGCATCTAAAGATTACATGCCTCAGTCTGAGGGACAACAAATTTTAAATGGATGAGATTCCTCCAGGACAAAAGGTACAGTTCAGCTGTGGGGAAATGGTGTCTTAAGGGATTGCCCTTAGCAAAAAAAAAAAAAAAAAAAAAGCAATCTTTAAAAGTGCTACATGACTTTTAAAAATGAAGAAAATGTGCTGTGATGATCAGCAAAAGAATTCCAGGGTTTTGAGATTTGAACTTAATTCTTCTATCATTCTAGGAATGCTTTAATTCTCCGTATGGAACCCAAAACTTCAAGGAATATGCAGAGAAGATCCCTGGAGAATCGACACAGAAGCTCTCAGAAGTTGCAAAGGAGTGCAGCATCTATCTTGTTGGAGGTAGTTTATGCCTAGTGACTCCTTCTATTGAGGGCTGAATGGGCAATGTCTACTGGTGCAACTGAATCAAAACTCTGTAGAATACAATGGGGTGGGTAAACCTTTGTTCTCTACTTTCTAAAGGATCCATTCCAGAAGAGGATGATGGAAAGCTGTATAATACTTGTGCTGTCTTTGGTCCTGATGGTGCTATAGTGGCAAAGCACAGAAAGGTAAGATGGTAGAGAATCGTTGTTATGTTTCTCATCCAGGTGGCCAGTATTTGCAGTGTTGAGAAAAATGACATTTGATAAGCAGAACACTGAAGTTACAGGTTTTGTGTGCTC